TTTACAGGAGAACCAGTTATGTTTTTTTGACGAAACAGAGCGCAAACAAAACCTGCTTTTTCTGCAGCCGTAAAACTACAAAACACAACACCGGTGCGTGCTTGTTAGTCTTTGCATCTCAACTGCCTGAGTCATGTATCGATTATAGCACATAAATAGGCTAGAACAGTTTGTTCAGGAACACGTCGTGAAACGTTTAATTAGTCAGGCTCCAAGACAGTTTGTTTGTTTTTTGCTGAAATGACTATATTTATGCATTTAGAAATATACCTTTATTGCCAGAATCGGTGAGTTGGATTTAACGCCGCCTTTTATGGGTATTCCAGATACATCAGCAACATGTGGGAGTGATCATAGGTTCCTGGTGTGTCCAAGGGGGGATACTCTGCACAGCAGATTGCGGCACATTAGACGACTGGTGAGGTGAAATGGGGTCAAACATCGCGTCCAAGTTTATTGCACTTATATAGCGACGTGCATGCACGTGTGAGTGTGTGTGGCTGTTTATGTTAGTTCGAACTGATGCCGATTCATAGTGCTAGCTCACTGAGATACCATGCCGCAGTTTAACACGAATGCCCCACTCAGACACAGCATACTGGATCCGAGCCGTCCAGTCCTTGTTTAAGCCCCTTAATACCGAGCGCCAGACAGTGTAATAACAAGTACCATCTTTTAACGTCTTTTGGTATGACGCGGGATCGAACCCCGGACCTTCCGCTTTCCGGTCGGACGCTCTACCACTACACCACGGATAGCGGTCCATTAGATGACTGGGCCACCCGTACTCCCTTAATTGCCAGAAGAATATGAAAGAGATAGTGAGTGTCTGAATGTGTGTCACAGTATTCTAGTATATCACATGGCCCTTAAAGTACATCGTCCTACATCTCGGAAGGGACATGCGTTGTTTTGTTGTAATTTTACTGCTGTGTGTTTACAGGCCGCCTCCTTGAATATTAGAGACGGTTAACCAGTAAATGCCGCCGTGGGTCTGGTTATCTCCCTTGTTAGGCCTTATTGTATATGTGAACGTGGCCCTGGTATATTTAAAAACATCAATATAAGTATAGATAACAAAACTGCATATACGACGTTCTTCTGAGGGCAACGTTGAGAGAGATGAAATTAAGTAACAACATATGAATTAGTTAACCTTTATGTTGAGGTGAAATGGGTTCTAACGTCGCGGGGGGCACGGGTGGCCCAGTCGTCTAAGGCGCCGCGATTCGCTGTGCAGAGTTGCGTCCCTTGGGCACGCCAGAAACCTATGATTGTGGGTTCGAATCCCGGATCGCCCCAATTATGTTTCTAGGTTTGTCAGCACCATACCCGTGCTCGTGGGTTTCACCGAAGTCGTAAACGTCTGAGACCTGCATCACTTCGGGCTTTTCTCCCACATTAAGCTGACACGCCGTGATATAACTGGAATACTGTTAAAAGCGGCGTTAAACCCAACTCACTCACTCACTCACTCACTCACTCTAACGTCGCGTGCATGCGTACGTGTGTTCCGACCAAACCTCATTTTATCGCCTTAATGCTGAGCGCCAGACAGGGTAACAACAAGTTCCATCTTTTAACGTCTTTTGGTATGAGGCGGCCGGGGTTGGAACCAAAAACATACCTGTCTCCTGGCAAACGGTCCATACACCCGTCAACGGCGACAATCATAGTCCTTATACATGTAAATATATACATGTTGTAGTGTAAAAAGAAACAACACACATTTTAATTATTTTCTGATCATAAACATACTCCTTTGTATTAAATTTTAAACAGCTACCTTGCCAAATGAAAGAAATGAAACTCGCGAAATTACCTTGCTAACGAGGAATAGAATTTTGAAAAACACTCTTTTTAAAGATAATATTTTTAAAGTTATTGTTTCCCAATCCTTTTTAACCCATCTTAATCAATAAAAGTTGAAATTTAAAAAAAATAATTATTTTAAGTTCGTGAAAATATGTCAATAACAAGTGATCAATTGGTTCTGTTCTCACTCCTTTGTAAGGCATAGGTAAACATGAAACATATTCACCAATCATTTGATCCGAAAAGCTCATTCATTATACAGACACAAATCAATAGTTTTCCGATCACCAAGCAGGCAAACGGACTGAAGAACGTTGTTAGATTGTCAGATAAACGGTTTTTTTATGGGGAACCGAACGTGTTAAAAATCTCAAATTAACGATTAACATATACCTCACCCTAAAGACTACGCCTCTCGTGAAAATATCTCGTGAACGGCACCGGCATCGATGGTATCGTGTAGGTCAACAGCCAGTGTCACTGCGATTGAGGGAACATTGTGTCTGAGCATTTCGACCCGACAGTGGAACGACGTTGACGCCACAACAACAACATAACAGGTCGATATAGTCCAGGCGGGCACGGCGTTTCAGGTTGGAGAATGGGGACGAGTCATGTTCTCTAAGACCGCCTCCGTGGTCTATTGGTAGAGCGGAAGGTACGGGGTTCCATCCCCGGCCGCGTCAATACCAAAAGACGTCAAAAGATTGTATTTGTTGTTACCCTGTCTGGCGCTGGGCATTAAGGGTCTAAAACTAGAACTGGTCGGCTCGGAGTCAATACACTGTGTCTGTGGGGTATTCATGTTAAACTGCGGCATGGTATCTCAGTGTGTTAGCACTATAAATCGGCATCAGTCCGGACTAGTACAAGCAGCCACACACACATGCACGTCGCTATATAAGTACCATACTCTTGGACGCGACGTTAAACCCCATTTCACCTCACGCCATGTTCTCTAATGAGCAGGTTTTGCCTGTTTCGAGCTGATGGTGGACAGTGTGTGTACAGACACCAAGGTGAATGCCTGGCACTGAACTGTGTCCACGATGTTAAGCAATTTGCAGGCGGTGATGTCATGGTATGGGGAGGAATCTGTGGAGACGAGGCTTCTTCTCATTCAAAGGCAATATTACTGCACAGGTGTATCGGGAGGAAGTTTTGCGACCCATTGTGCTGCCAGTTATCCAACAACAGCACGCGGTATAGTCTTCCAGCATGATAACGCTAGGTCCCTTTCTGCAAGACTGACACGAGACTTCCTCAACGACATGAATGTTAATGTTTTGCCAAAGCCTGTATGTCCTCCTGACGCGAACCACATGGGACATTTGTGGGATCATCCTGAGAGGCAAGACAAAAGGCGACCATCAGGAGCGATGTCTCATCGAGACAACGGATTCCCGCTAACGTGAGGTGTTTGACGTCATCGACGGTGTGACGTCTTGTACAACGTGAACGAGGTGGACAAACATCATTAAACCAGTGATTTATGACAACTCCGTTCTTACACGTGCTTTGACAATGACAATGTGAATGATCTCATCGCTGTATCTTGTGGCCATTGTTACTCGTAAAGTTTCTGCTGTTATGGGTCAGTGAGTTGGGTTTAACGCCGCTTTTAACATTATTTCAGTTATATCACGGCGTATCAGTTTAATGTGGGAGGAAAGCCCGAAGTGATGCACGTCTCGGACGTTTACTACTTCGGTGAAACCCACGAGCACGGGTATGGTGCTGACAAACCTAGAAACATAATCGGGGCGAACCGGGATTCGAACCCACAATCATAGGTTTCTGGCGTGCTCAAGGGACGCAACTCTGAAAAGCGAATCGCGGCGCTTTAGACGACTGGGCCACCCGTGCCCCCTCTGCTTTTATGGAGTGAACTTGTTCACATATTGCTAAAGTGCCACTATCGTTAAATACATATGTTTTCAGTTCCAACATGCTTTCGTCTCTCAAAGTCTTCGTGTACTTTCTTTTCTTTCAGTTAACATTGCCTCGAATAGTCGTACAGAACTCAAACCCCGAAAGGCTAAAAAGTGGAAAAGTGGGATTTGGTTCCTCAATAACGTCATTGGGCGGCTGACGACATTGAGACGGCGTGCATTGGTACTGGCGATGGTCATATTCGCTTTTAAGAATGCTTTTGGGTTTTTTGTCTGTTGTTTAACGCCACACTCAGCAATATTCCAGCTATATGACGGCGGTCTGTAATTAATCGAGTCTAGAGCAGACAATCCAGTGATTGATATGAGCATCGGTCCACGCAATTTGGATCGATGACATGCATCAACCAAGTCAGCGAGCCTGACCACCCGATCCCGTTAGTCGCCACTTACGACAAGCATAGTCGCCTTTTACGACAAGCGTGGGTTGCTGAAGACCAATTCTACCCCGGATCTTCACGGGTCTATTATTAAGAATGTGTGGCATCTGCTAAATAATGTGAGGTATCTGCTAACCAACTCAACCTGATCATGACAATACCCGCTTCACGCTGAAATTGCGACGCCATGTTCCTTGAGACGCCATGTGCCTGTACCTGCTGTGAGATACTTGATGTGATGCATGTAATATCACCTATGATACCAGTATCAAGTAGATCACCATCGAATAATCATTTCTAGTTTGTTTCATTTTCAGCAACCATCAAACATGGATATATACTTTCTTTTGTCCGACAGATAGACCAGACACCCAGTGATTGTCATCATTAGCATCGACCATTGCAATTGGAATACGATGACATGCATAAGCCAAGTCAGCAACCCTGACCCCCCGATCCAGTTAGTCGCCTCGTACGACAAGCATGGGTTGCTGAATACCCATTCTAACCTAGATCAACACCGGATTACAATCGGATTCCATCTATGATTAATGATGTACCCCCAGAATAGTTTGTGGCAAGTAATTTGTGAAAATTGCATGTTAAGACCGCGGCCTTTGAGGTCCACTCGACTCTTTCCGTTACCGACGTAATTCTTCGGGCAGCGATTGAGTAGTGATATCACATGAGTCACTGTTAGACTGGTCCCATCCCTCAGTTGCGCACGCCGAATAAATCTTACTGCAGTCGCTAGCTTCTCGCTCAGGCGAAGGGCAGAGTACCAGTCCAGATTCAATGTAAACCGCATACAGCTCATGCAACATGACGGCAGAAAAATGACGTTAATGCTTTTATTATCATTTGGGGCTTTTTTACACATATTTTCCATTCTTTTTGTAGATGAATGACGCTGTTATGTTCTGCTAGTGGTGTCCTCGCGGGGTATGAACCTGATCTTATACTGGGGCGTGTTGTAGAAGGCGGTGAAGCCGACGTCTCTGGGGTCAGGAGATGGGAGAGGATGAGCGGGGTCAGCCTCCAGATGGAAGTTCTGTAGTATGGTGACCACGCCTAGAAAGAGGCGGACCCGGGCCAGGATTTCACCCACACACTGACGCTTGCCGATACCAAACGTCAGCAGCCTGAAACAGATGGTTGATACAAAGTATGGGTAGTCCCTTCCAATCTCGTATCTACAGTTAGAACCTGTTAATCCGGACTCATCGTTGAAATTGCTGACTTGACACATTTCCGTATTTCGGGGTAATGTTACTCTGTGGACATGTAATCGTTCAAACCGTAGTGTCCGGAATGCGGGGGTCCTCACTAACGAGGTTTGACTGTCTATCAAATTTCAGGTGTGTTTTTTTTATACTTTATTATGTTTATTTTAGTAATTACTCGAAGTTTACCAGTAGTCGATCAGTTTAACGAATGTAAGTGACGTCATGTGTATTTAACTCCGTTCTGTAGGAGGTTATGCCCTGTCACTTGTCATACTTAAACATAATAAACATAAACATTATAAACATAATAAACATAAACATTATAAACGCATCGGAAAGACTACACTAAAATAGCAACTTGAACAATAACTGGAAGCGCCTGTAAAATCTCATACCATCTGTCATTGATAAGCTTACACACAACAGATGACAACCAAAAAAACCCTCCCTCTCTCTCTCACACACACACACACACACACACACACACACACAGTCACTCACACACACACACACACACACACACACACATTAGTACCATTAAAACCATAATCATATTTCCTGATATACGCAACCCAAACCACCCTCCCCTACACACCCTGCCAAATACAAATCATGCTCTACCCCCGGTTCTCCCCCTCACCTCTGTCTTCTCTGGTCCTCTGGGGGCACGAGGTGGCCATGCTCGTCCAGGAATCGTTCCGGTCTGTAGGTGTAAGGTTCGTTCCAGAAGGACGGGTCATGATGAACGAACCAGATGTTGTACCACACCTACATTAGTAAAACCTATACTGAAGGACAGATGTTAGGGAACGGCTAATACAATTATATACTGGCATTCAAATTACCTACGATCTGAGTTTCAATAATTCACATAACTTTTGTGGCTAAAACACATTGCTTATACCATTGTTAGTTAACACAACTGATCACAGGTATTTAAATATTTTCGAGGGAGCGTTTGATATGATTAGGAGGCTTGGGTGAGGTGAGGTGAAAAGAGGTTTTACGTCGCGTCCAAGATTATTACACTTATATAGCGACGTGCATGCATGTGTGTACGTGTGTGTGTGTGGCCGCATGTACTAGTCCGGACTGATGGTGATTTATAGTGCTAGCACACTTATATACCATGCCGCAGTTCATCATGGATACCCCACTCAGACATAGCATACTGACTCCGAGCCGACCATTCCTTGTTTTAGCCCCCTAATGTCGAGCGCCAGGCAGGGTAAAAACAAAACGTCTTTAAACGTTCTCCGGGCGAAAACTCTACCACTAGACCACAGAGGCTGTCTATGGAGCTTGGGAGAGGGTTGTGTTTTTCGGGTTTTGTTTGGGGGGGGGGGGAGAGAGAGAGAGTCGAAATCACCCGGTACAGTAATTCAGATGCGCATTTTGTCTGATTAGCTTCCTCACCATCGTCTTCCTCGGAATATGGTATCCGTGCAGGCGAGTGTCCCGGATGCAGGTCCTCATTGGAGGAAGAGCCACAGGGGGGGTGAAGCGGAGAGATTCCAAGATGGCCGCCCTTGTATACGGCATGTTGCTCCGATCCTGCAATCTCGCCATGCGGGATATTCCGATAACTTGCGATATTTCCTCTTGGATCTTCTTCTGTACATCCGGATTATGAACCAGCGTTAGGAGCATTGTGTACAGCGTCCCTCGGGTTGTCAGCACACCTGGCAGGTGCAAGAACACCGCATCACATCACGAAGGAGGACGAAAGTGGGTTTAAGGTTGTATTCCAAGACTATACAGGAAACTTCTAAACATATTTCATTTATCCTGCGATTGCACGTCACTACGAAACGGCTTTTCAGTTTTATTAAGGTGGCATGCAAGCTAAAATAAACGCAGGTCGTACAACCTTGGCGAATCACGTAGGCCTATGTTTGGAGCGGACGCCCCAAGAATCATACTCAAATAAAAACAGGGGTTCCGAACCAAATAGGATCACAGCACGAGTACAAAACGCGATTTATGCTCCTTCTGCCAGCGGAGCTGACGGTGTCCGCGCGACATGTAGCAAGTGCCTAAGGACATTATACACAACTATCATGTGTCACTGGAATGAAGCCTTACAGGAGTATTGCTATCTAATTTCAGGGGATGGGTTCCAGGGATTTGTGCTAAAGACCAATCAGTTAAGAACTATTGTGGCATAATTTGCATTCTCCACTGACAGCAGCCTTCTTCCCGAGGCAGGGGCGTTAATTGACTATAACAGTCCAGTTTCCACCCTTGCCGAACTAGGCTGGAATTTCGTAGCGCCACTAGTGTCTATTACGAGTTATGGCCCTTCTATGTTCCTCCTACTGACCAATCAGATTCCATTTTTCATATCACTTGATATTGCTTAAAACAAAACGGCGGCGCCCAGTCAAGACGATCTGCTCGATAGTCAAGATCTGTATTGTAAGAAAACGGATTTTACCCCGCGAAGTGCATCAAATCACGTGAGCACCTTGATTAAAAACATGAAAGAATTTGCAAAATATCTGCCGACGCCCAGTTGGCGGTACACATGCTTTGCAGTCGACCGAAATCTGCATGTTGTTTACGAACCGGATGTCTAGTTTGTTACGCGATTTTAATTGGACTAAGCATAGACTCGTTAGTCCAGCCTAAATGCATCTCCATAATTGCATCCTAGTGCGGCAAGGGTGGAAACTGGACTTTTACAGTCAGTTAACTCCCTTGCCTCGGGAAGATGGACAGCAGCAGACACAAGTCTTACCCGATTGTAATAACCAAAATAAATGGAAATCTATTTGTTTCATGTTGTGGGTTTTTTTCTGAAAGGACATATAACGTTAAACAAATCATACATGTGTGCATAAGTAGTTACATTATCAATAGCATATACCTCCTTCTTGACCTCACCCGGTAGGGGGTGTATCCTGCGAGCAAAGTGCTTGCCACGTCAAAGACCCGGGTTCGATTCTCTACATGGATACAGTTTATGAGATCAAGTGTGTGTGTCCCCAGTCGCGACATAGCTAGAATATTGCTACAGCGGGTTTAAACCCTACTCACCCACTAACCTGAACGGACCACGGTGTTCAGTCGAGAACATGCGACTGCAGCCGCCACGCACCTGCCACCAGCCCGTCCAACAGAACGCCCTTTACGGCGTTCCTAGATATTCTCCCTTCGTCGCGTTCCCGCAGCAGCATCGTGTACAGACAGTCCGGCATAGCCTCCCCCTGACACTGAAACATTAATATGCATCGTGTGCAGACAGTCCGGCATAGCCTCCCCCTGACACTGAAACATTAATATGCATCGTGTGCAGACAGTCCGGCATAGCCTCCCCCTGACGCTGAAACATTAACATGCATTGTGTGCAGACAGTCCGGCATAGCCACCCCCCACACACACACACACACACACACACACCACACCCCCCACCCCCCACACCACACACACACACACACACTCACACACACACACACACACACACACACACACACCCCGCCCCTGACACTGAAACATTAACATACATTGTCTGCAGACAGTCCATCATAACCTTCCCGTGAAACTCAAACATTAAAATGCATTGTCTGCAGACAGTCCGGCATAGCCTCCCCCTGACGCTGAAACATTAACATGCATTGTGTGCAGACAGTCCATCATAGCCTCCCCCTGAAACTCAAACATTTTCATGCATCGTGTGTAGACAGTCGGGCTTAGCCTCTCACTGACGCTGCATGAGTGAGTGGCCGACAATCATCAATATTACAGGTATATATACGGCTAGGTCAAGGGGATCGAGTCTAAACCAGACACACCACTGACTGAACGATGAGCAACGGTCATCGCCATGCGTGCTCGATAACAACGAGCCGAGTCACAGAACCTGACCACCCGACCCCCTTGTGTGCCAAGGAGACAGTATGCATGAACCACCTGAATGTGGCATTGGGCAGAAAGTATATTCCTATCTTAATAGCATTTCCGCTCTGACAGCTCACCTGTACGAATCCTGGGGTTCTAGATTGGGACATCATTGGGACATCAGTTTGAGAACAAAACATGTTTGCACTGATTTTCATGGACAACATAATTCGGTGTGTTTGAAGATAAAACTCTATCTGAGTTGAGTGGCTTAGTGGTTAAAGCGTTCTATCGACACGCCTATCCCCCGGGTTCGATACCACACTTGGTTACAACGTGTGAAACCAATTCCTGGTGTCCGTGCATGATGTGTTAAATATGCTAAAAGAGGCATAAATCTTATCTCGCTCACATGTCTTGGATGTTGCAAGAGTGAGAACAACCCTGTGAAGACCCGGCTTCGAATTGGTCTTCAACAACCCACGCTTGTCGTAAGAGATAACGAACTGGATCGGGTGGTCAGGCAACAAACTAAGAACAATATCTACATTTTTGTCATGCATGAAAAGCCTGAATGATCTACGCACCTCTTTCATCTGTTCGATCGCTGTAATGAGTTTGTCCCTGTTGGTCTTGATGTCCCTGCACGTTCTGCCTGTCTGGGAGGGAATCCAGGCTGTCCACGGCATCGTGTCCAGGACGGAGGAGCGTCTGAAGTGGGTGATGTAGTTGAAGCCTTCCACGATGCTGTTTACGTACTCCAAAATGTCTTCTCCGGCATCAAAACGTCGACCTACCGCCTGGGAAGAGAAGCAGAGCTGGAAGGTATGCTTGCAGAATACATGTCAAGGTAAGAAAAGGTCATAGCTCAACGAATGTCGCAGGTAGTACCTTCAAGAACGGGTCGGGGTTTCTATTCGGATTGCGTTCTTAGCATTACGCTATGTGTGTTTCTGTTGAAGCATAGATAAATGTTACGACGAGAAGGTAGATATGCGACTGTCGTAGTCAAGAAATTGAAGTAATCTGGTGGTCGTTGGTTGTAGTTTACCGCCGCATTCAGCAATATTCCATATATGACGGTGGTCTGTAAATAATGGACTTCCGGCAGTTGTAGTGCTAAGATGGCTTCAAGAAAGAAGGCTCAAGGTGAGGTGAAATGGGGTTTAACGTCGCGTCCAAGATTATTGCACTTATATAGCGACGTGCATGTTCGTGTGTGTGTGTGGCTGCTTGATGCCGATTTATAGCACTAGCTCACTGAGACACCATGCCGCAGTTTAACATGAATATCAGACACAGTATACTGACTCCGACCAGTCCTTGTTTTAGCCCCTTAATGTCGAGCGCCAGACAGGGTAAGAACAAGTACCATCTTTTAACGTCTTTTAACGTATGAGGCGGCCGGGAATCGAACCCCGAACCTTCCGCTCTCCGGGCGGACACTCCACCACTAGACCACGGAGGCGGCGATGGCTCAAGGTCCCGCAAAGCGATCGTAGCACTAAGACGATCAGACTTACATCGTAGATCTTCGTTCATTTTGTAGAACGGGTTAAGGGCCTATGGACCCGTTTCACAAAGCGATCGTAACGCTACGACAGTCGTAATTTCGCATAGATTTACGACAAACGTAGCCGAACGATCGCTTTTTGGAACGGGCCCGCATGTGTGCCTATACTCACCAATATGAGTATGACATTACAGATATAGTTGTGTATATCCGCGAGGCAGTCGTGGGGCCGGCCTCCCGAGGCTCCGAGTCGCGCCACAACTCTACGTAACTCCTCCTGAGCATGCTTTTCCACGTTCATTAGACCGGTACCGTACTGCTTAATCCCGCGGTGTGCTATCTTCCGCAGCAGCCGCCATCGCTCCGTATTGTTCTGGAACACAATGTCCTCGGGAACCAGGTTCATCCCCGCGTAACATTTTATTCTCCCGCTGAACGCTGTGCTGTATTCTGAAGAGTCCAACATCTCCTTGATGAGTTTGTAGGAATGGAGGACCACAACCGGATGTGAGAACACGTAGAACGTAAACATACCATCGTAAGGACGCCCGAGTTCTTCCAGCTCCAGGGGCACTTTCTCAAGTTTTAAATCTCGTAGGTTCCCGGTAAAGCGGCGTGGCTTGGGACCCGGGGGAAGATAACGGTGATGGTTTCGTGACCTTGACCTTGACATTCTATACAATATGGCGATTATGACCACCAAGAAAGCTACGACAATCATGTTCGAAGCTGTATTAGTAAAATAGCAACTTGTGGCTCAAGACACAATTCTGAAAAATAATACAAATTAATGAGAACTATTAAAATAATAAAAATTGATGTGAACTATTTGCCAGAAGTGATATTTACTACTCATAAGACGTTAAAGAACACCCGAAGCTTCCATATTACTATAGTTTAATCTGTCATGGCATAACATTAACTTAGTAATGTGAAACCATTGAGTGTTCTTTACTTCTTTTGAGTACTATATGTCTGTGATTCATCGACATGGGCATTAAAATACCATTTGCCACAATCGATTTTCGAACTATCAATATATCGTCGAAAAATATTCTGATGATCCCAAAATTTATATTAACAATTATTATTTTATCATTAAATAGAATGTTTAGGTCGTTGATTCATTTAGTTGAAAAAAAGTATTGAATTAAACTGACGGGCAAAAGAATGTATACACTTGAAAACTTGATTTGACAAAAACATTACAAACTTTATCAAAACGTCACAAGGCTGATAAAAGAGACCGAAACAATGCAAACTTAAGGTGCAAAACACAACTATGGTATCCGTAAATACATCACCATCGAATGACCATTTCTTGTTTGCTACATTTTAAGCCACCATCAAACATGGGGGTGTATTATTTTTTTGGTAGTGTATTTGATTTTGCTTCTTCGGTACCTCTTAATAATATCTCATTGTGCATTTGTATATAAACACCGTTTATGTACATCGAGTTAGAAATTTGCAGTAATTGCTGTAGGAATTGCCATGCAACAATCAAGTTTAGCGCTACTCACAAACTGATAACACTGAGACACCCTCTCTCCTCCATGTCACCTCCCTCACTGACGTCCTACCCTCCACCACACCTGTCTCGTCGTGGCGTCATCGTCTCACGGGATGCTGCACAATTACATTATGTTTGCCCAGTCAGCGGTATAGGTTATTAATCAAACGAGTGGTACACAACATCAGGGGGTTTAATGAATGCATTCATTCCTTAACGCATGTTGATGAAATGACGAATGTTTTAATTGGTACTGATATTGTCGCGCTCCGGGGATGAGAGCAGGTCCTGTAAAATCATATATGTGTTTGTTTGTTTGTTTAACGCCACACTCAGCAATATTCCAGCTATATGACCGTGGTCTGTTAATAATCTAGCCCGGACCAGACGCAATTGGGATACGGTGGTATGCATCAAACCAAGTCAGCGAGTCTGACCACCCGATCCCTTTAGTCGCCCCTTCCGACAAGCATGGGTTGCTGAAGACCAATTCTAATCTGCACGGGACTTAATTCATATATAGGATTTATGAGTTTTTAGGTCACCAATAAGTAAATCATTAAGCAGTTTAATACGCTACCTATGTCTCAAAGTTACTACTTCGAACAATGTTTACACAGACTAACTTATTGAAGATGCATGTGATATGTCAGTCTTTCTCCAAATGTTTAAAGAGGTGGGAATATAAACAAACGGTTTCATATATACATGTGTCATTTGTTTGTTTGTTTGTTTGTTTAACACCGCACTCAGCAATATTCCTGTTCTAGGACGATGGCCTTATATTAGTCGTGACTGGACCAGACAATCCAGTGATTGATATTGTAAACAACGATCCATGCCATCGGGGTACAATGCAACAATATCAACCAGGTCACTGAGCCCGACCAACCGATCCATTTGGTCGACTCTTATGTCCAGTATTGGTTGCTGGGGATTAATCCTACCCGGAATACCCCAAGGTTAGTTATATCAGAGGTACCGTAAACCCTGCAAACCAAACGTTTTACTATTGATCATGAATTGCGAAACAAGTCAACGTCTACGAGAAACAGTTCGGAAATATACACACATGGATCATAGATACGACACAAACGCCAAAGGTTGAGACGTCGAAGATGTACGTCTTCATTTGGATAGAAGCCGTCCCTGCGTTCATGTCATCGCCGTTTTCAACACATCCAACGATGAAGCTGGCAGTGCCGCTTACATAACAACGTCGTTGTAATGGCCGTTAACGTATTCATCGACGTCACGTTACGAGGCGGCCTTGCATCTGCATAAAACGACGTTTCACCCTGCCCAGTACAAAGCTTGTATATGTTACTTACTAAAGGATGTCATGGGGAAAATGTAATTAATTTTAATGTATGAGTCAGTTGCTGCATGTGTGAAAACAATTAATCTGTGTTTGAACCTGAGACATATTTAACATGAAACGATAAACTTGGAATATCTTGACATTGTTTAAAACACATGATATTAGGAAGAACAAAGACATAGATTATTTAAATATATTTTTGTACATATTGTAAGTCTGGGTCTATTGAAGACGAGGTTCCGTTGATCTGCGATGCCTTTGTTTCCCAGAGAGAAATATTTGCCACATTTAGAACATACATACGTAAATCACCAAATATTGTACAACTTACTTAACTCAAATGATGTAGGTACTATTAAGTCAGTAGCCATCTTTATCAAACACATTTTCTGTAAAAGATTTCTAAAAGTTGTCAGTTTAAAAAATGTCCTGTCAGTCACGTGATTACAGTATAAATTTGTTCATTCAATTGTACACTTGGCCACAATGCCGACACACTGAATAAACACGACTGTCTGTTAGTACTGACAATTGAAAAACAATCGTCTCAAACACACACGTCTCTCTGTCCGTCCAAATCCCGTCGAACAAATTTCATTCACCGTTCTGCAAATACCCAACTCATCTCAGGAACGTTTTCTAACTGTTTCTGCAAAAAAAGAGTCCACTACATCTTCTCTAAACGCGCACACGTTTTGCGAATACCAGGTGTCGTTGTGGTCAGTGTTTCGTCAATGTCAATGTAAATGTAAAGTGTTTCGTCTCTATTAATTTGATTTAGCACCTTTTGTTTTCTTTTCTGTGATAGAGTCAGGAACAGGAATGCACGTTTTGATTATGGCATTTCACTGGATCAACATGAACAGTCTGCACTTGATGAACTCAAGCTCTGCGAGATGAGTTTCCTACTGTCCGGCACTCTCCCATCAAAGACAATACCCGATATGGGTACAATGTGCGAAACCCATTTCTGGTGTCCCCTGCCTTGATATTGCTGGAATATTGCTGAAAGCGGAGTAAAACCTTGCTCTCTCTGACAAAATTGACAGACAAAAATCTCAATATCAATTCGACATCAAATTTGTCCGTGTGTGTGCGTGCATGCGTGTGTGTGTGTTATCTGTATACTGATGTATGTTCTCTGGTGATCTGTTATTTTTTAGCTGTCTGTTCTTCAGGCCGCAACTTAACTGATATTTCTCTGGGATTATTCCCAGGAAGGCTTCCATAACAACTGTATCTTCCTCTGTTATTAGATACTACACATCGTTGTTAGTTTATGTCATGAAATACGAAAAGAGTGTGATTCCGTAAATGTAAAGGCGCAATAAAGGTGTTTTTCACGTCAAGTACGAACAACTGGAGAACATCACGGAGAATCTGTAGAAGGGGGGCAACTCTTCCCGTCTTCCCGGCACGTCATAGCTGCGCAGATGGGCATCACACGCAAACTGTTGCATTCAATGATTACACGGGCTGGTTGAGATAAACAACTGGTGTTCAAACGGCTGTTTTCTTATCGTGACTTCCATTCAAAGGCTACGGTGTAAATTTGGACAAACGTAAATGTTTCATCTTCAACTGAGCATCTGAAAAACCATTACTTCCACACGTGCTGATGTACCCTGTCACTTTTATTTATTTGTTTGTTTGTTGTTTAACGCCGCACCCAGCAATATTCCAACTTTATGACGGTGGTCTGTAAATAACCGAGTGTGGACAGTCCAGTGATTGATAGCATTGATCCACGCTATTGGAATACTATGACACATGCATCAACAAAGTCAACGAGCCCTACCACAAGATCCCGTCAGTCGCCTCTTGCGACAAGCATGGGTTGCCAAAGACAAATTCTAACCCGGATTTTCACGGGTGACACTTTTATTTGGAAGTGATAACAAGGATGCTACACAATCACTGTTACGTCAGTTCATATCCGAATAAACGAATTTTTATGTAAACCTGACGATGTAGTTGTGTGCAATGTCGTCCTGGGTTCCGCTCTGCGTGGAATATTTCAGTGATATTAACGAGTGGTGTACAGCACCTGTGACAGCAATAACTCAGTGTTTGTCTGTTTGTCTTCCTGCTGGGCATGGCGTATCTCATATACCGTATTCACCTCATTATGAAAATGTATCCGTCTGGGTACGACCATTCGTTTATCTGACTACCGTAATTACCCCCGATACGACCTCTCATTTATCTGACTGCCGTAATTCCCCCCGATGCGACCTCTCATTTATCTGACTAACGTAATTCCCCTCGATGCGACCTCTCATTTATCTGACTACCGTAGTGTCCCTCGATACGACCTCTCATTTATCTGACTACCGTGATTCCCCTCGATGCGACCTCTCATTTAACCGACTACCGTAATTCCCCTCTATGCGATAACTCATGTATCTGACTACAGTACCTTATATGTGGTCCCCCGCAGTGATATTTCTGGAATATTGCTTAAAGCGGCGTAAAACCACAATCACTCACTCACTAATATATATCTGACTTTTTTCCAGATATTATTGACCTACTAATGTGAGAACATGTCATGTCAAATACCATTAGTGTATGTATATAAGTCAGGTGAGGTGAAATTTGGTTTAACGTCACGTCCAAGATTATTGCACTTATCTAGCGACGTGCATGCACGTGTGTGTGTGTGGCTGCTTGTACTAGTCCGGACTGATGCCGATTTATAGTGCTAGCACACTGAGATACCATGCCGCAGTTTAACATGAATACCCAACACAGACACAGTATACTAACTCCGAGCCGACAAGTCCTTGTTTTAGCCCCTTATTGCCGAGCGCCAGACAGGGTAACGACAAGTTCCATCTTTAAACGTCTTTTGGTATGACGCGGCCGGGGATCGAACCCAGGACCTTCCGCTCTCTGGGCGGACGCTCTACCACTAGCCCACGGAGGCGGTCTTTATAAGTCAGGAAATGTGGAGGAAGAATTATTCCAACTTGCACAGTGACAGGTGATGTAGAGGTCACTATTGAGAGGGGAATTATGCCAAGGAGCGTTCACGATGCTGACCTGAATACATTGACGGCCGTGCAATACATGTATGAGGGGAATATATATGGTAACACCGACAAGAGTCCGACAGTGTAGGAGACAGATAAATCGTGACGGCAAATACTGATTAAACTCTCTTCCGAATACGTTCTCTGAGAACTGCTAGAGACGGATTAAATCTACTCAAGATACGTTGGTTTGTTGTTTTACGCCGCAGCCAAACGACCCGCTATATGTTGGCGGCCTTTAAATAATTAAGTCTTGGTTTTACAAACCAGTGAGTGAAAATATTAACAGCGTCCCACGTCGTCGGGTTTGTTGACACGCAATCACCAAGACTGACAATCTGATCCACATTAGTTGCTATTTACGACAATCAGTAGAGTGCTGGGGACCTATTTTGCCCCCGACCCAATAAGGGAGACAAGCAGTAGAGTGCAAAGGACCTATTCTAACCCGGTTCCAATGGGGAGACAAGCAGTAGAGTGCAAAGGACCTATTCTAACCCGGTCCCAAGGGGGAGACAAGCTGTAGAGAACAAAGGACCTATTCTAAGCCGGTCCCAATGGGGAGACAAGCAGAAGAGGGCAAAGGACCTGAACTAACCGGGCCCTAATGGGGAGACAAGCAGAAGAGAACAAAGGACCTATTCTAACCCGGTTCCAATGGAGAGACAATCATTAGACTTCTGGGGACCTATTCTAAGCCGGTCCCAATGGGGAGACAAGCAGAAGAGGGCAAAGGACCTGAACTAACCCGGCCCTAATGGGGAGACAAGCAGTAGAGAACAAAGGACCTATTCTAACCCGGTTCCAATGGAGAGACAATCATTAGACTTCTGGGGACCTATTCTAAGCCGGTCCTAATGGGGAGACAAGCAGTAGAGAACAAAGGACCTTTTCTAACCCGGTTCCAATGGAGAGACAAGCAGAAGAGGGCAAAGGACCTATTCTAACCCGGCCCCAAAGGGGAGACAAGCAGAAGAGGTCTGGCGACTTAC